GGAAAAATAAATGGAAAAATAATCATAAAAGGGAAAATAATTTGAGGGGTTTTTGCTATTATATGAATATTTTTAAATATTTTATATTTTTCGACTATTTTTGGAATTAACGATTTTTATATTACAACTGTAACAATATATAAAGTATCTAATTTTAAATGCTTATAACTTTTTATATAGAGATTTTTTAAAATTCTGATCAGTAATTTAATAAAGCTTATCTTCATAAATAATATTATTAATTTAGTTTTTTTAAATTTTATCTCAATAAAATACTGATAGATTTTAAAGATACACTATTTTCATTATTGCGTATAGACTTCTAGCATCATATAATTTTTATTAGAAGTAATTATTAACTTTTATTTTCATGTATTAACATTTTTGCATCAGATTATATATTATTATTATTATTAACTAAAAAATATTATAGATTTTTTAGTGTAGAAATATTCTAAGTATACTTTATATTCTTAGTAATGTAATTAAAAATAAGTTAAATTAATTAATATAATCAAAGTAATTATATGCAAGAAGATAATTATAAAGTAATATAATAAGATTTCAAGTTTATTAATTTTGATATAATAATTATATAGAACAAGTTATTTTGCTAGCTATATCTTAATTAATTAATAGCTTTTTCAAAGTATCAATTGTTTTTTATTTATAATAAATTTTCAAGTACAAAGTTTTATATATTGAATTAATTATTTTGATTAAACTAAATAATTTAAATTTTCTTAATATAATAAATAAAATAAAATAAAATATTAAATAAATTATAAAAATATAATAAATTAATAAATTATATAAAAATTATAAAAATATAATAAATTATATAAAATTATAAAAATTATTAAAAATTATAATAATTAAATATATTATTTTTAATTATTACTATACATACTTCTATACTATATTATCAGAAATTGAAAAAAAATAGTAAAATTGACATTATTACTTTATATTAAAATACATTATTTTATTAATAAATATTTTTTATTTTTATACTAAAATAAAGATGATAATCTATATTTTTAATATATATTCTTTTAGAATATTCTAGAAGTATATATAATAAAAATATAGATTATCATCTTTATTTTAGTATAAAATATTTATTAATAAAATGACAAATTTTAATATAAAGCAATAATATCAATTTTACTATGTTTTACTATGTTTTTTTTTTCAATTTCTGGTAATATAGTGTAGGAGTGTATATATTAATAATTAAAAATAATATATTTAATTATTATAATTTTTAATAATTTTTATAGTTATATTAGTATTATATTTTTATAATATAAAAATAAATTTAAAATTTTTTTAAAAAAATATTAAATTATATTAATTTGTAATTAGTTAATTTTATATTTTTTTGTTATGAAATATTGGTTTATTGTTTTATTTTTTATAATATTCAAATATGAAATTTAATTTCTTATTTTCAAAATTATTATTTTACTTATTATCAAGAAATTATATTATAACTAATTGTATTTCTTAACAGAATATTTGTTTTATTTATTTTTGTAATATCACTTGTTTAATTGAGTAATTTTTTATTAGAAGCATGCAATTTATTATCTGAATTTTATCATGGATACGTGAAATCAACTAGTTATTACTTATTATATGATTGGCTAGTTGTTATAACTAGTTACAATTACATCATGAATACATGAAAATCATACTAATTAAAAATAATTACATGATAATCTTATATATTATAAGTTTAAAATTTTGAATTATTTTTCATTAAGTTAATTGCTTTAATTAGTGTGATTATTTATCTTTATTTACTTGAGTTTTTACATATTAATTCAAAATCTATTTTTTTAATCGAAAAATGCATTTTTGTTTATAATTTCAACACAAAAATTCCAATTTGAAAAAGGATTTAAGGCTTCGATTAATAATCTATAACACTAGTATAGGATTGTGTAAATTATTTTAATAGCACTGAGTGGATAATTTTCAAAGTGACAATGTCTTTTTATATTAATGAGTGGCTACCCTTACCTGTGCAAATTATTGTTTGACGAATATGAATACGAGAGTATGCCTCGTTGAAAAGATTTCTTCAAGATGTAAAGATGTAAAAAAATTGATTTTTGGATCGCATTCTTTTTGGTTTTAGTTTAAAACTTTTTGTACAGAAACTTTAAAGCATAGAATCTCACATGTATTATATTCTCATATAATTCATAAATATATGTGGCTTTATAAACTTACATTTTTTCTATATATAACAATACAATCTATACTATCACATGCTTAAATCCATCTATAACAATATAATCTAGATTAAATTTTAAAATACATATTAAAATAAATTTGATATTCTAAATTCACCATTTTGCCTTCTAATTCTGTTACACGCTTTTCTAAAATATCTGTTTTTTTTGCAGTCATGACCTTTTGTAGAAGATTCTTCGAAGAATTGAAAATTTGATGGAATTGTAACATTTTTATCGTGAAGGAGAGGCAAAATGTTGAGTGAAGTGTTTGAAACTGCTTCAAACTTTGAAATAGATCCTTGACTTACATCAAGTTTATTAGAATCAGAAACAGTATTTAGAACAAACTGCTGATTATAATTATTCGAACTCTGAAAAGGTTCAGATTCTGTGTCAACCAAAATTTGAGGTGAAATTTGCGGCAAATTCAGATCAGTATACCGAGACATTTTGGCCGTATCGAACTGAACTTTAATGTTGGACGCAATATTTTTATACCGTTTTTTTGTAGAGCAGCCTTCTTTTTCCAGCAAACTGCTGCTACTCGCGATATTTCACCAGCTTTTATCGGAAGATTTCTGTTTTTGATATCCATGGCGACCCACTTGCGATATATAATGAAACCGTTGGGTGATTTTGATGGCATCGATCCATCTCGTTTGAATTTTGTTAAAAGATCGTCATCGTTAAATTCTGGTGGGAATGAGGGCATATAATTCTTGTGCTTATATTGGTCCATGATTCGATGTGAGGAAATTTTCGAACTGGCAATGTGTATAAATACTTTTTGGTTCTATAAGACATTTGTAGCTGTTTAAAAATAAATGACTTTTAATGCAAAAGTATGACTATTTTTAAAATGCCCAATATGCGAAATGCCCTTGAGCATTCAGAAATCTAAACGTTTGTAATAAAAGCATATACGTATGAGCTAAATTACCATAAATAGCATTGATATCGATATGTTGCTTTCGTATCAATGCTGTCCAAATAAATCATTCAGCATTTGCATTTGTATTATCATTATTATTAAGAAATTGCAATATATAATTGTTTTCCCATTAAGTCAGTTGAAAATCACTTCAGCATTTGCATTCAACATTATTCATCAAGAAATTTTCGCAATCTGCATTAAATTGGAGAGCTGCACCGTCATCCAATCTATCATAAAGATGTGGATTCGATTAAAGTAGATTAGCTTTTTTTAAAATCATATAAAAAATGTGATTTAAAAACTTAACTGGAATAAACTAACGCAAAAATAAATTCGAAACGAATCGATGAAAAGAAACTCTTGGTTGTTTGCAAGTAAACAGAGGTTAAAATTCAGACTTATAAAGATTCTCTCCAAGCAATTCCAAAAAATTTCTTTTGTGATGAATCCGCTTATATATAAGTAAACATACCATAGTGGTCTTCTGAATTAGTCAAAAAACAAAGAATAACTCGTGTCTTTGTTAAAGTGCTAAATTTCTTTTTATTTTGATTCGCATAACGATAACCAGAATTCCGATGTATGATTTTCTTGTCATACCGAAAATTTTTGTTTTCAATTTACAAAAAAGGGAAATTATTCATTCATGGCTATAAAAAAAAATACCACGTAATTAGATCAAATGAGCATTATGGCATTATCAACATTGAGCATTATGTGAATGCTATCATTACCCTATTTGTGTTCTGCCATATTTTCCAAAAAAAAAGCAGAATAAAGATAATGAAAGCCTTTAAATTATTATAATGGCGTATTTGATTTATAAATTACATTTTCGCGTTATTATTTTAGAATGAACACATTATGCGTCAGAAGGCAATTGCCGTAAAGCGCTACATCAAGTACCCTGTTGCAAATTTAAACCTTAATTTAACCTCAAGGCTATTAATTTAGTAATAAGAAATTACACCGTGAATCTTGTTTTATTTATTTTGCAAAAAATAATTTGGTTTTACTAAAAAAAAAAGGACTAAATTAAGGTTTAATTTTTTTTTACAAGGAGGACGCATCCAGCTAACATTAATTCGTTTTCTTCTAACACGCAAGAGAGCACCTTACATATACAGATTACACGACTTATGTATATATTTCTCAAGCTTTAACAGGATACTTTCATGTCAAAGCAATTTATTAGGTGTATGATTATATTTTTTAAAGATTTTAACATATATCCTTTTTTCGATCAATGTAAATTTAATGGAAGTCTGCAAATTTTTGGATAAAAATATGCTAATCTAAAAAAAAATCAAATTCAAAATTGACGGCAAATTATTGTTTGATTGATTGTCTTTATTGTATTCAATGCAAAATATATTTTTAATAGTATAACAATATCCAAGAAAGGTAAAGCATAAATGATTTCTGGAAGATGGTCTAACAATGATCACATAATGCAAAATAGTAAAATAACACGAATGGCTATTGTAATAAAATTTGCTTGCATACGTACTTGTTTTTTTAGTGTTCAGAAAAAATGACATTCTTTCATGCATATATTTTCTCGATCTTGATCCAATAGAAAATCTTTACTGATTTGTCGTCTTTTTTAGCATAGAAACCTGTTTTTTTTTATCAGGTAATCGTAATCCTGTCTTTTTATAAATCCGATAGTGATAGATAATTATTTATTAGCGTTAGTGTTTATAGTAAAAAAAAGTAATATATATCGATATCTAAGTCAATCATACGATAGCAAAAAATACAATAATATTAAAAGATAAAAGATTTTTCTTATTCACAAAAACATGTACGTGACAATCAAAAAAGATGAAGCAGAACTGCTTTCCCAAAAAGTATAAATAGGGTCTTGATTAAATTACAAGAGAATATTTGTTTTTGGATTGTTTAGTTGAGGTTATAAAAAAGTGATTTAATAAACCAAAAAGAAATGGCAAAATTCCGAACAAATGAATGCGTATTTTATGTACCGCGCTTGCGTGAGCACAGAATTGAAAAAGTTTGCATGCAAAACTTCGCTATCAGTGAATAAATTTTTGTCAAAAAAATACTAAAACATATAATCAGTAGAATCTTTAAGTCTCTAATATAGAAATTTTTCTAAGGAGTTCATTTAATTACAAAAATGCAAATAAAAATTATTTTACCAGTTATCGATAAAAAACTCGCCAATTCCATATAACAAAAATTCGAAAATCTTGATTCATTATACATGTAATAAAGAAATTTACTGAACAACGTTGAGATTTATGTTTTTTATGTTAGTTAATGATTGATTCTTTAAAATTGTTATCGGAAAGTTTTTATATTCCAGTTTCAGTTAATTGAGCTCAAATAAGTATGATGTATAACATCTAAAGTCATCAAATGTTTGTATTTTATAAAATGGATAATATTCTTTACTAAGAAGTAAACACAAATTTTAATCCGTCAATATGATAGAATAGGCCCTTTCTGAACATATTGACGGGTTAAATTTTGTATTTACTTAGTAAAGAATATTATCCATTTTATAAAATACATACGTTTGATGACTTTAGATGTTATGCACCATATCGATATTCTTTTGGAATGTAAGATTTCAGTTCGTACGTACTGTGATCTAATGAGACAAAAATGAAAATTTGCACAGAACGAAGAACACAATACGAAGTAAAGGCAATTTGTATTCTAATATGCTTTTTTAATCAGGACTGCAAGAAAAATTCTTTGCAAAGAATGTATCTCTTTGAAATTTACTTTATAACCCAAATACATAAAAAATAGAAGAAGCAAATTAGTGCATCCATGTGTTGGTATCAATATAATGTATAGACGTATCGTTTAGGTGCAAAAAAGCAAGACTGCCTTTGGATTGTCTGGTGCAGTCAGATAGAAAATTCTCAAAACCTATGTTTCCCTTTACCCATTCTAAGGTTTGCTGTCAAAAAGAGATGCATTACTTGGTAACTCGGAATTGAAAACTTATCACAAGCTATGACCATGTATGTGCATAATGTTGTAATGGTTTAGACTTCATACAGTTAGTATTACTAAACAAGGAAAGGCAGGTAGGTAATTTATGATGCGGTATGGGAAGTTGGAACGTGACTGGTTAATAGATGTGTATTTATAGTGACAATAAGTAGCATTAACGACACGTAGTACATGTGTCATGTTTTTTTCCGTTTCGTAAAATAAAGCATAACCATTGTCACCAAAGTAAGTTAGTTACAGACGATCATTTGATAATTCGAATGACTAATAATGACCGGGAATTAGTGGTTTGGATGGAATTATGAATTTTTGTTGAGGATTTACGAGATTAATGATCACAGTAACGGTAAAGACTGTACGTATTTAAGTTAAGAGTGGGGGTTATCGTAATATTGTATTATTTATTGCAATCCTTTTATTTAATTATTTAATTACATTGGTTGTTATTCTTCCTACTTCTTTTTACATCCTTTTTATACTTTATTTAATTTATATAATTTACTTTATTTTCTTTATCGTCGCCGTTACGATATGAGATCCTCGTCAGGTGATTCAGTCACGATGAGATTCCACTGGACATGGCCAACACTGATCACTTCGATGTGATTTGAGATCATTTCAAAAAAAGAGGTTACAAAAAGAAAGATTGTTTCATTGTAATTTCCCATTACATGACGTAAAGTAATAATCAACTGTATAACAATTATAGTTTCTAAATTTGGATTATAAATACAATTATTTAATTATTTTTTGGAAGAGGATACCTCATCTGTTGTCAGCGAGAATACAAAGGAATTAAATTTGTGATTTGTATATTTATTTTTTTGAAACTCAGAAAATTCTAGCATATATAAAATTTCACCGTACCGTCTACAATTTTCTTAGATATTTTAATATCCTAATTATTAACCATCGCACAATATAATTCTTATTGCTAGGCAAAATGTATTCCGATTTCATTTTTTTTAGAAATCACAGGGTCATACGACAAATAGAACTACCCCAAGATTTTCTGTGAAAATCATTTTTGTGAACTACTGATGAAGGTTGATTTTAAGGATAGGATGGTCAAAAGATTTAGCAACAAGGTCTTAACTAATTGTACTTTATTTCTTGCTCAGTTAGTTAGTTGAATATTTTTGATTGGGACAAGCTAGGCAAACTCTTACAGCAAAACCCCAAAATTTCAAGACCAATCAATTAATTAGAATTTCGGTTAGGATTAGAGCTAAAGTTAAGATTATTTGTCAAAAAATGTATCTGGAACAAAATTTCGCAAGAAAAATTTTTTGTTAGAACAAAGGTAATTTCATAGATACAGTACCGGACAGCATAAGATATCCGATTTTAATTGCCTTACAAAAAAGTGTTATAACTTTTGAATAAATTGTTAAATAAAAAAACTCACTTCCAAATTGATAGTTCTTTAGTAAAACTACATTTCTGGAAGAGGAATTTATTTGTATTTTTGATAATGTTAAATATTGTCTACTTTATATGTGAGTTGAAAATTTGGTGCATGCTTATACAAAGTCTTATAATTTTTGAACCAAGAATTAAATAAAAAATTCTTTTACAGATTGATAGCTAGCTCTTTAGTAAAGCTACAATTTGATAAGAAAATTTTTTGATTTGTTTTAGTTTTGAAGAAATTATTAAATTTTAGTCCCATAAACTTGATACTGAAATATAACATAATTATTTGATTGACTAGCATTAAGTCATGTAATAAAGCGTTACTATATAATGACTATCAAAATTTGGCGCTTCTATAAAAAAAGTGTATAGCTTATGCTGTCCCGTACTATATAAGGTATTTTTAACAATAAACATTTTGTTTGAATTTATTTGATTGGACACATTGCGAAAAATTTCGGAATTTTGGCGGTGTCGCTGTATGACATCTGCTGCATTATATTTTATGCCACATTACGTGTGAATTTGCGCAAGAAATTAGTGATACGGGCTGATGAAAAAATCTCAGGCCGAGGTTGATGATAATGAGATTCGAGTGGGTCGGCCGGACCGACTGGTTAAAACTTGATGAAAGAAGGGAATGTATGAAAAATAAAGTGGTAGGGAAGCGGAGTCACAATATCATTAGATACTTGACTCAAGGAATCACTTGTAAATTCTTCAATTTCAGTCATAAGGTTCTGATTGTTTAGGTCGTGTTTTAGATGATTTAGTATGTGATTCTTTGATACATTTTGACTTAATGCCTCTGATAGTCCGTGTACTTTGAAAACATTGAAAATATCTGAAAAAATCGCTCTTAGTTAAGAGGTTGATCAATTTACGCGTTTGAACAGAAGAGTTTGATTTTACGATTTGATTCTGCGAGACATTTCAAACCACAATGCACAACTGGAAAAATTTATTCCAGTTTAGGAACTAATAATGTGAGACAATGTACATTACTCAAATTTAGAAAGTGCAGTATTCTCACCGTTACCCCTTTTGCAGGGAAAATTAACGAGATACTTGTTTTTGCCACGCGATCAATAACAATAGTAGCAATAACGCCATTTTTCCGTACTGACGGATCGGAATAATTATAGTAATCATTTAAAATGCAAATTGATTTTGCGGTTTTCAAAAAACTTATCGTTATGATTGCTTAAAATATCAATATCGATACTCTTAATCTTTTCGTGTGACACGGAAAATCTGTATCTGTCTGTGTACTTATTGGATCATAAGGTATCGCCAAATATCTAATGTTATGTGTACGTTGTATGGATTAACTTTTATGTTATCTCTAACCCTAACCCTAATCACATCGACCCAGCTGATCAAAAAAGTATGGTCGACCCGCACGTGATTTTTTTACAGAAAATTCACCAAACTATATATATAAAACACCAAATTTTAATAAAATAAAGGTACCTGCCCTTCAAACTATAATAAAATTACATATTATTTGGTGTTTCGTTTTATCAGAAATCTATTTTCTAAGATTTGTCTAAATTTTTGATAATTGTATCTGATTCGTCTTTTTGATATTACTGATATTCTTGATATCCCTGTTGATTTTGGTAGAGCTCGCCTGGATAAAATTTTGATGATTAGAACTGATTTGATACCATTCCCCCGTCTTGCTGAAATTCTTGATTATTAAAAGTGTTATGATCCCACTCCCCGTGTAAGTTATTTTGATGAAGATCTTGATGATTAGAAGTGTTTTGATACCACTCTCCGTGTAAGTTATCGTGATGACTAGGATTTATGTAGGACTCAGCTTGGTGAAGTTCTTGCTGAATCTTTTTTAATTCGGACGTAATTTCTTTGTAGGGTTCTTTTTGATCTTCAGGTAGCATTTTCCAGTGATAGCTTGCTAAGCTAGAAACTTCAGTAGCACCGGATGTTTTAATATTTAGCTCCTTTAATTCTGCCACAATACACGCTCGAAATACCATGAATGGGTTTGGTGCTTTTTCTTGTATATTGCCATCTCTTTTTTTTTTTAAGAAATATTCGACTTGAAGGCAAGGTGGTTTATATGGTATATATGGTATATCAAGAACAAAAATTGGTATATTGCTAGCCATTTTTAGAGTATCGAGATTATCTTTCGACAAACTTAAGCCAAAGTTGAACGAGTTGAGTTCTATAAGTACCCGTTTTTTCATTACACATTAATGTGTCCAACTAAATACGCGAAATGCCATTGAACATAAACATTTTCGCAATACTCATTCATTATACGTATTTGGACGAATTTCTTGATTCAAAATTATCATTGAAAAATTTTGCAATACAAACAAACCTATACAAATTAATTGAAGTGCAAAGAATTATAAGTGTGTTTTCCAAATAAAGCGAGCTCGCAATTGCATTTGTATTTTGAGATATAAAAGCGTCAAATAAGACATGGCTTAAAACAACAGGATAGAATTTTACTCCAAAAAATTGATCAGTAATGTCAATGCATATGAGAGTAATGTATAATGTTGATTCCCCCCTAATTAAGATAGGGATGTAATTTGTAAATGCAAATGTAAATGTAAATGTAAATGCACAATGCTTTAAATTATACCGATAGAGGTGGGATGTAAATTATAACTATAATTATAATCAAAATAAATAATAAAGATGTTCGGAAAACTAATGCAAGCTTAATTAAATGACACAATACCTTTAGCGAATATTAAATAGAGAATCAAGTGCAAGAATTAAAAGATGTATATCAATTCCTTAATTCGTGATTCTGGAGTAATATCGGAATCAGATAAGTCTTAATCACGGCTCGATTTTTTGTAATAAAAATTACAAGTCAACCCCCGTTAACCGAACCACTAATTAAACCGACTTTGGATCCAAGAACAGTTATATGGTGCATCAAACGTTTGTATTTTATAAAATGTATATGCTTCTCAACTAAGAAGTAAATTCGAAATTTAATCCGTGAATATGATAGAATAGGCCTTTTTTGATCATGTTCACAGATTAAATTTCGAATTTACTTCTTAGTTGAGAAGCATATACATTTTATAAAATATAAACGTTTGATGACTTTAGATGTTATGCATCATCATAGTAGTTCCCCTCGATCAACCGAATTTTTTACTAATAGCACCGACCACTCCGGTTTAACTGTCATCCAATTGAGTCTTTAGCATTAGATGAAAATGTGGTTTCGGCTAATCAAAAGTAGATTTTAACAAAAAAGATGATCCAAAAATTTAACTGAAATAAAATAACGCGAAAATAAATTCGAAATCATAATAAATGGCCTCGATGAAAAAGACTCTGTGTTTGCAAATAAAAAGAAGTCAAAATTCAAACTTATAAATATTTCTCTCCAAGCAATTCCAAAAAAATTTTTGTGTGAATTCGTTTTATATATACCATAGTGGTCTTCTGAATTAGTCAAGAAAACAAAGTGAATAACAAAAGATAACTCGCGTCTTTGTAAAAGTGCCAAATTTCTTTCTAGTTTGCACAATCTTTCCGATGTTTCACGCGTACATCTTTTTGTTATACATGTACATGTACATGTAATGCATTTAAGGCATTACATGAATAACAATGCTATCATCACCCTATTGTATCGTTCTTTTTGTTTCGAAACAATACGTAATGATAATGCACGCATTGACATTTGCATTATAGCTTATTATTTTACAATAAGTTAATAAACAGTATGACAATTAGCATTAGAAGTTGCTTCACGTGATCACATTCTCTGACACTTCTCACGCAAGAGGCACATTACGTATGTACATTTCTCGAGCATTAGCGGGTACTTTTGATTTTATTATATGTGTCATTATTTATATTTTATGAAGTTTTCGTACAATATATAAAATTTACTCTTGAAACTTTAAGTTCGGAAAAATTGTGAATACGTCCGTTTTAATGTAAATTTAGTAAAATTTCAAAAGCCTATATTACTAAGCATGCATACTAATTTGAAAAAATAAATTCAAATTTAATGAACTATTTCTTTGATTAAGCACCGAGCAAAAATTTCCAAATGAAAATAAATTAACGTTAAGACTAATTTATAAATTATTGTAATTCAGAATCTTCTCATTTGTTCGTTTTTTTAATCCAATAAAAACCTGTTTTTTTAGTCATCAGGTGATGTCAAAAAATTCAAAATTTAAACAATAGCGATAGCGATAGACGACGATAATTCTTTATTAAAAAAAAAGTGTACCATACCACGTACGTAACAAAGAATAAGCTTGATAATATAAATACCCATGAATTTCGACTAATTTAGGAATTTTAGCTCTAATTGACCAGTTTATCGAATTTTACTGTGTACATGTACTTAATGTTAATTTGAATTTTGTATAAATTTGAGTAGCAAGAATAAAAGATTTTTATCGTACTAAAGAATTTTTTCCCTTACAAGCGAATATTTGTGTTTGAATTTTTTTTTAAAAAAATAATTTTAATAGGCCAAAAAAAGAAACAATATAACGATAATGAATGCGTAATTTATGTACCACGCTTGCATAAGGAAGTAAAGGGCCATATAAGAAAATTTGGATGTAAACTTTCTATATCAGCGAAGAATTTGTCAACAATATCATTCCGTAACACCTTCAAGTTTATGACTTAATAATTTTTGTTAGTTTTTCAAATAAAAAATATTTTACCAGTTATCAACAGCAACTCTGTAAAAAATCTCGCCTAAATTCGATGTAACAAAAAATCGAAAAGCTTGGTTCATTATAACGTTGATATTTATGTTTGTTTATGTACATGCATAGATTGGCTAATAGTTTGATTATATAAATTTGTTAACGGAAAAGTTTCTTGGTATTTGAAATTCCAGTTTCAGTCCACTGAACTCAAATAAGTACTTCTTGGAATGTACAATATCTGTCGTAATGCGTGATAAACGGTGCTATTATTTCTTTAATATACTAAAAGCAAATCTATGAAAATTTGCGCAGAGCGAGAATACAAAGACAATTTGTATGCATTCTTGAGGCAACAATAACAAAAATATTGAAGGGCTTTTAACTTGTTCGATATTGGTGTCCGCTCTTAAGGGTCACATTATAATTCTTTTTATTTACGATGCATTTTCTAACGACAGTATTTTAATAATAAACATGTCACTTCAAGAAGAAATGAACAAATATACTTAATTGTGTTTCTATGCGGTAAGTTAAACTTTAACTGTTCATCTAATTTCTTCATCAAAGTTATATTAAAATCGAATGACTAAAATATAAATGAAAAACCGATTTAGTAATAAGCTAGGGTAGAAGTAAGAAACATAGTACATGTAGTAGTAAAAAGACATATGGTGCCGGCACCATATGTATTTGTAATTGCGTCCGATTTATCTAACAATAGAACGTGAAAAGTGAAACACAAAGCGTCAGTGTCCGCATAATTTTGATCCAACGTTTACGTACATGTATTAGCGTACGTATATAGAAATATTTCTTAAAAATGATGAAACAAACTTTTAGGGCTAATAATTTAAATTTTGGGGTAACTATAGTTATAGGGTTCTCTCCTCAATTATCACATCCCTGGCAAATACCAAGAGAATCCTTAAGGGTAGGGTCTTTATACATATACAGTGACGCTCAAAAGTATTGCATCACCCGGACGATAAATTTCACGATTTAATAACGTTTCATATACAATATCAATCAATATATAAATAGGCTCATTATAATGCCTATATATGGACAAAACATCGTATCATATTTATTTTCCATATCGTACATTTAAAAAAAAATAAACCACATTTTACACCAAATCAAGCGATCCGTTTCTTTTGATCGTTTTGATAAATAAAAATAAAATCGAGATTACTCACTAAACTAAATAAATTTATGAAAATTTAATCCCCAATTTTAATTACCACCTAGTATAGCCACCCTTCGCATTAATTACATCTTGAATGTGTTTCTCCATACTTTCAATTAGCTTCATTAAAAACATGTTATCAATTTCGATCCAAATTTTTTATATCGCATCCCACAGTTAATCTTGAGTATGGATACCAGTTGATGACATTCTCAAATGATGATCTATTTCATTCCAGAGATGCTCAATTGGGTTAAGATCAGGTGATTGGGCAGGCCAATCGAGCAAACAGATATCATTATCATCAAACCATTCATACATAGATTTTGCCGTGTGTTTCAGATCATTATCTTGTTGAAAGACAATATCATTTTTATTAATTTCATATCACTGGATTGTTTCTAAAAGGTCATCATTTAAGATTTCACGATATAAATTCTTAACCATATGACCATAAATGCGTATGATATTACCAACACCAAAAAATCTGAAGCAACCCCAAATCATTATATTTTCACTCCAAATTTTACTGTAGGTTTTATATAATGCTCTTTCAAAGGTTCATCATTACGTTTTCAGTAATATTCACGTCTGTCTGAATTAAAAATCATAAATTTTGATTCATCCGACCAGATGACTTTGTTCCAATCATTAATAGTTCAATGATGATATTTTTTCGCAAATTTTAAACGTTGAATTCGATGTGTTTTTTTGAGATATGGTTTTTCGCTTAATTTGTGAAGAAAGATCATTACAATGTAAAGTTCACTTTATTATGCTTGTGTTGATATTAATTTTATCATCAGTTTTTAATTTTTTTTGAATAGACATTACAGTGAAAAAACTATCATTCAAAATTAGACGTATAATATTTCATTCATCACGTCCAATAAAAATTTTAGAACTACCTGGTTTTGGTAAATCTTTAAAGGTATTATGAGTATCTTTTTTTTGCTTTATTCTTATAACAAAGGATTGGAAAATATTTTCACGATTTGTAATATAATGGGAAGAATATCCTTCTTTAAGAAGAGTATAAATTTGGGATCTTTCTTCGACAGGAATATGTGCCATAATAATTTTAATTATACAAGATAAAAGAGTGAATTTATAAGTGTATTTTATTTATAGGAGATATGTTTTGTTTTGTTGTGTGTTTTTTATATTTGTTTTAAGGGAGAAAATGATCAAAAGAAATGCATTATCAGTTTGGTGTAATAAAGTCCAAGTTAAGCAAAGTGGTATTACATTTATTTTTTAAATTGTATGTATAATTTATTTATGCTTTTAACTATATATGAGCTAAGTTTTATTTATCTGTGGCATCTATATTGCTAAAAATTTCACGATTCATTTTTTTGTCCTAGTGATGCATTACTTTTGAGCGTCACTATATTAATCAATATCGATCACTGGACCAAGTTATTTTGAATAAAATAAAAGAATGTAAAAAAGATAAAGGGACAACCAATAATTAAATTTCTATTTTGTATTTTCATGAGTTCACAATGTATATTTTTATTTATTTTGAATGTAAAGTTTATAATAGATTTTACAAGAGAAGAATTTTGATTGTAAGATACTTATTACTTTAAAAATACTTATTACCTGAACGATTCAAATTATTTTATTAAACTTAGAAATAATTGTATATTATTATTCTTCTAAAAGTTTATTTAGAAATGCGAATATAATAAAAATGAAGTTTAGACATTATTAATACTAAGTTGATTTTTTTTGACAAATTTCAATTATTCAGATTACTGTATTTAGAATCAGACCAGATTCTGATTATCTTTTCAATTTGAATAATTTTGCATGATGCTCATAACCTAATTTATATAATAAATCATAAACATCATATGTCTTTATTATTACTATATAAATTATGTTATAAGTAAATATAAATGTTAGATATTAATCAAACTAATTATATAACAGTAGATATTAATCAAACTACTAATTACAAAATTATTTAGAAATGGCAAATTTGATAAAAATAAATTTAGAGTTTATAAGGTATATTTTTTAATACTTATAAATAAGTAGTTTTATATTTTATCTTTTAATAGAGTAATAATCAATAGTTCAAATATCTTTTAAAAGTTAATGATTAATATCATAATCTGAACATAGTATCTTTGTTCAAGAGGAAACTAATTCTTTACAAATTTTGCCACAACAATTAAGATCTCCAGATAAAATTGATAAAAATAGTATTTATTTGACACTTAAAGTGACAAAGATGGAAAGTGATCATAATAATAAAGTTTTTGTGCTCTTAATACTTGGCTACAAAATTGGGCTTTGAAATGATCAAGTCAAGATAATAATATTGTATATAAATAAATTAATTATACAAATGATTCAACATTTACAAATATACAACAAACATCTACTGCACATAATGATTTATCCAGTTTACAATATTATATTAAAAATACATTATGCATTAAATATTCTGGAATCTTTTCTGCATTATTCTTATTTGAATTAACATGCAAAGCAAATGTTAAGTGACTTTAAGAATTTATTTCTCAACATATCTCAAATTTATTAAATCAAAAGAAGCTTTATTTCAAGCTAAAGTTCAATATAATAATATTAATTAGATTAAATGAAAGGTTGAAGAGTTACAAAAAGATTTATATTTTGATAATTCTTATAATAAAGAAATTATTTAGAAAGGATGACTTATTATTATAGCTAATGAATAATCAAGCTCAAAAGAAATAGTACAAGTATTAGATGTCAAATTAAATGAATTATAAAAAATATAAAAATGAATTGAAAATGATTAAAAATATTTGCATTAATCTTTAGATACTATTTATAAATTAAAAATATATTTAAAAATAAATTCTAACTTATCATAATATGTTAATTATTTAAAATAATAATAATTATTATTATTTTTTTAAAACTATTATATCTTATAATCTTTTTTAGCAATAAGAAAAATAATAATAATGAATTAAATGATAGCACAAACTCAGATTTTGAATACCAGACTATTGAAAAACTTATAAAAAAACATAATTAGAATCTACTATTCTATTTAGTATTAATATCTTTTTAGATTTGGTTTTAAATCAATCTTGAATTACGTGTCATAATACAAATTCTGCAAATAAAACTGCTAAAGTCAAAGTTGATGAATTACAAATTTGTGTTATTATTACCTGTTCTTTGTACTTAGATGAAGTTGAATATTATAATAAAAGAAAAAATAATAACTTTTCAAAAAATATAACAGGTGCTGATTTAATTGGAAGTGTAAATCAAGAAGAATTGTGATCAATATTAGTTGTATTAAGAATTATATAACAAAATAAGTATTAACAATATTTTAATAAACAATTAGAATTTTTTTACAACTTATATCAAATTGCAAATAATAGTATGCATTGATAACTATATATGAGCAACTTCATAAAAATGATTGAGATATATTAGAAGTATCTTTTGATTATGTTTAAAGTTATATATGTAAGATTTCTCAAGCTAATAAAAAGTTTATTTATAATAGAAAATTAGAAGATAAATAAATATATAATTTTTAATTTATTAAAAATTAATAAAATTAAAATAATTATTAAAATTTTAGACTATGAATATTAACTAATTATATAATTGAAAAAAATAGGAATATCATATTAAAATAAATGAAATTGTTACTATTTAAGAAGATAATTATAATGATAACTTATAACAAATAAAATATGTGATCTTAATTACTATTATTAAAAAAATTTTACTAGTATCAGAAAAGTACAATATTAAATTAAATATTGAAGTCAATAGAGATCTTTCTACAAATAAAACTCTAGCTTTGTTAAATATAATCAATCAAATATTTGTTAATTTAAATTATAAAGCTAAAATTATATAATCAAAAATAAGTAATTGTTATTATTTTAATTATATATTTAATATTAAATATTAAATATTAAATATTAAATATTAAATATTAAATATTAAATATTAAATATTAAATAAAAACTTATTTTATTTATTATTATAGTTCTGTAAAAAAAATAAAAGAAAATAATCAGAAAAAAAATATAGTTTTTTAGTTCTAGAAAATCACAAGTTTTATTAATAAATTTCCAAATTAAAATCTAATAAAAATTTGATTAAAAATCTGTTAACTTTAAAATATAATATCTCATAATTTACTAATTCAATTTGAACTAAAAATACTATTATTCAATTTGTCTAATCTTAACAAATTGAATGATAATATTTTAGTTTGAATTGGATCAGTAAATTACAAGATATCACATTTCAAAGTTACTGAATTAATTTTTTTGTTCAAAATTAAAATGGATGCATTATTTTCAAATACATTATTATTAAATTTATTTAGTTTTGATGAATTTAATGATAGTAATTTTACAAAAATGATTTGGTAATTCATAAGATATCATGTTTCAAAATTGCTGAATTAGTTTTGATTTTTTGAAAAAAAACTTATTTTAATTTGAAACACTAATTTGAAACATGATATATCATAATTCATCAGATTAAAATTCAGTCACTATTCAACTAAATCTCAATAAATATGTGACTTTATTTTTATTCAATTTGATTAAGTGAGTAATAAAATATTAATCCATTTTAAAAAAATAAAAAAAATAAAAAATATATTTGGTAATATTGGGATATGATATCTTATGATCCACTAATCCAATTCAGATAATAATATCATCTTCTGATTTGTCAAGACTAGAAGAATCGAATGATGATATATTTGTTCAGATTGGATTAGTGAATCATAAGACATCACATCCCAATATTACCAAATATATTTTTTATTTTTTTTATTTTTTCATTTTTAATTAGATTTTCATCAGATTTTAATTATTAGTTTTTATTTTTTTATAGAATAATATCAAATTATAATTGGAAATATTTTAAATAATTTATTATGAGCTTTTATACAAAATATATTTATATAATATTTAGTAAAGCTAATAATTCTCAAGTTTTAACTTCAGATAATAAAGAATTAATATGAATATATACTGAAGATTTGATTAGTTATTTACAAGAAAATTATAATAAATATTGATTTAAAGTTTACTGAATCATAGAAAATATAGATCTGAGCTTATTAACTCCAAATATAATTAGTGTAGATAAAAATTAATGCAAATAATTATTAAAATTTCTTAAAAAAATTATGAAACCTAAAAAATATCAAAGTTTAATAACAATAATATATATTATAATTAAATCTCTCTATAGTTATTACTCTTGAAAAAGCAAAATTTGGTTACTATAGAGAGAATATAATTATAGAGAGATTTTTTTAGTATATTTATATATAAATAAGAAAGCAAAATAAGATGACTATAGAGAGATAGACTATAAATAGATATAACTATAAAAAAGTTTGATTATAGTTATAATGAAGTATTTAATTGTTTAAAGCTAAATTATACAAAAAAGAAAATAAATTATTTTGAGCTTATTATGTATTTTCAATTATTTATAACAATAATAGTTTTGTAAAACTTTAACATTCAGTTCGTGAAGTAGATAATTTAATTAATTTTTCAAATCAGAATGAGAAGAACTTGCTTAATATAGAGAACAAAAAAGAAATGTTAATATTAAAATAATTAAATTATATACAGTTAAATCTCTCTATAGTTATATTCATTTATAGTCACACCTCTCTATAGTTACTTTATTTGCTTTTCCATTTACATATAAACATAATAAAAAAATCTCTCTATAGTTACCAAATTTTGCTTTTCTGAGGGTAATGACTATAGAGAGATTTGACTGCAATGATAAAAAAATTGAAAAAATCATTAATAAAAAAATAATTAAAAGATTGTGATTACTTATAGGTAATATAATAATTTATAATAATAGTTAAATATAGTTTCTAATTTTATTTTACTTTTAAAGAATTTAGTTTCATATAGTTTGCAAACTCAAGAAAAATTTCTAAATAGCAAATTTAAATCTTTTTTTGCTCTATTAATAACTGCATTTAAGTTATTATTTCTCAAATATATAATATATCAATCTTTTTAAAAAAAGTTTACTAATAAACTATATATTATATGATATTAAAGCACAATTTATTTAATCATATACTGAATAATTAATATCAATAATTAATATAATAATTAATATTAATAATTAATATCTAAATCAAATTAAAAATCTAATATAGATAGTATTATTACTAAATTTTTTGAAGAATATTGTAAAAAATAATGAAAAAATATTATCTTTTTCATCAGATTATAATATACTAATCATATTAAAAACTGATTTATATAGCTATAAGTATATTATTACAAAGATTAACTATAGTATTTACTTTTCAAAAGACATTAATGAATAATTAAGTGATAAACTAATAATAATTTTTAATAAATTAATATATTTATTTAATAATTCTTTTATTTATAAAGTAAAAAATGATAGAAATGAAAATACTAGTAGCAATATTATATGCTTTTTCAGAACAGTCACTTTTAGTACATGAAAAGATCTTTGCTGAAATTGCAAGTGAATTAATTTGTATATTATTTATTATATCAGAAAAGTATATAAATTTCGCATTATATTAAAAAATATTTATAATACTCAAGACTTTTAGTTTATTATTGATGAAACACATTGTGTGATTCTTTATAAAGAATTTCAGTAAGTTAGATCATGCAAATTAATAATAATTTATACTTACAAACTCTAATACATAAAAGAAATGCATGGAAGAAATTAGGCATTTCAAAGCATGATTTTTCAGCTGCTTTTCTACTTGCTCTAACAATTATATGTTCACTTGTCAATATGAAAATTATTTAATCAGTTCTGAAAAAATCTGATATAAATATAATTAGAAATTCAATTATTCATCACTTTGAAATTACGTTGGAAGTCAAATCCAAATCAGCTATCAAAGATAAATTTTATCAAACTATATTTGATTTGCTAGATAATTTTGAGGGCTGTGCTATTATTTATGGAGCTACTATTAAAGAATATAATTAAATGACCAATGCACTTTGAAAAAATTTTGATTCTATTATTATTGGAATATATCATGGAAAACTTACAAGTATTAAACAAACAACTATATCTGCAAGCTGAAAAAATGGAACTATTAAAATAATGTCAGCAACTAGTGCATTTGGCATGGGTATCAATGTAGATGACGTTATCTTGGTTATCCACACAACTTTACCAATATTACATGAACAATATATTCAAGAGATTGGATGAGCAGAACGAGCAGGTCAAGAATCTAAGACAATATTATTTTACTCACAAAGTGATATCCATATATTATTAACAATTTTGAGTAGGGAACAAAAAAGGTAAAATTTTAATATTAATATAACTGTATGATCAATATATATTATTTTTAATTTATCTTATCTTATAGTATTTCCAATCTCACAGAATTGCAAGACTTATCCCATTCAGTTACAAACATTATAGTGGATGAAAAAAAATCAACAATAATGACAATGATGCTATATGAATGTCATCAACAACTTATATATTATTCTTTCCTTTGGCCTAATTCTTGAATGTCATAATTGTGACAACTGCAAAGAATGGGAAAAAGATACACCTGATATGTGCAATATTACAGAAGAAGTAATACGACTTACTAGAATTGTGAGAGCATACTACAACATTCGATAATTCAAAACAATAATTTGCATCATGTGACTCGTGAAGATGTAGTGGATGTGTTTTATGGGAACAAAAATAATAATGTGACCAAAAAAAAATCTTACTCAAATATCAGAATATTCTTCAAGTCGTTTTCAAACAAGATTGCTTCCAAAGAAAATGTGTCTTTATTTATTGGATTCTTTATTCAAAAAGGAATTATAATCTAAGTCATTAATCTTTAAAGAACTCATTCTGAATCAGCCGTACTGACTCACAGCTTTAAAATTGTAGGTGTTTGTGAGAACGCAGAAAATATTATTTCTTCAAAAGTTTGGCAACAATTTTTAAAATAAAATAGTGAAACTCGATATAATAAACATTTGATATACGTAATGTAAACTAATAAAAACTCAATATACGTAATGGAATACAAATCATAATAAATAATTCTTGATATAACAGATTTCAATAATTGTACGAATGATTACCCGTATCAAGTTTCACTATGTACATAGAATCCACATCAGCAAAGATTTTTTGATCAACTCTTCAGATTGGTCACGTACTTTTTATCATCATTGTATGACGTTCGAAAAAATAGTTGTTTGTTATATTGTTATCCTATTGGATTTACTGACGTGTTCCCCACCCTACGCATCCGGAATCACCAGTTGTTATTCAACATTTGTCAACATAAAAAAATCCACCGAAAGTAAAGACTTGTCTCACCATGTACACCAACAAAGATCTTTTGATCAGTTCTTCAGATTGGTCACGTACTCTTTATCATCATTGTATGACGTTCGAAAAAATAGTTGTTAAGACACATTTTGTTGGTACGTGAATCTGTTGGTTATCAGTCTTTATATGTTCACGTCTTGGCACACCAGAACTGGCATACTTTTTCTGAGTTTCGTAACTAACATTTAATGTTATGGAATCTTCTTGTGCAATTTTTAGTGACCGTTGTGCTGTTTGTGTACGACGCTTTCAGTTTTTACTTATATTATAATAAATAGTTATCTTCTTTATTCTACAAATATTGATTAGAAGTGCACATTTCTTTGGTAAAAAAAATCTACGTAACGATCCACCCCACTCCAATACTCAATTAATCGCTGAATAAAAATCTAAGTTTTAATTTGTATGTAGGGTCTTTGTATAGCTGACGATGTTCATAACCTGCTTTGTATAGTAATGATCCATAAAATTAACCAATATTATTGGTTAATTTTATGGATCATTACTATACAAAGCAGGTTATGAGCAAAAATCATTACCATACAAATCAAGTTATGAGCAAAAAATCATTACTATATATATTAAAAAGTTTTTTGGGAATCGAATCATTTTTGGGAGTTGAATCAGATGATTAATAATGTCGATCACGGAGTCAACTATCAATTATATATTATATCAACCAAAAGACCCTACCCTTAACTGTTAGGAATTGTCCTGCAGTATTTATAGGAATTCTTGTATGCATATTAAAGTGCTTTCTAATTAGATTAATAACCTTATCTCATAGATCTGATGGGCATACCATGTAGTATTCGGACTCAAAATGTTCCAAATCAGGCTTAAATGTGGGATCAATGAAATCAAACTCTACTACAGCATTATTTGGCTGATATTGGTTGCGGTAGATTCGCTTTCGACTCTTGAGCTTTTTCCTAACAACCTTCTCGATGTGTCATAGACAGAGCTGTATATCAGCATTGGGTCACACTTCTTTCGCAGCATTGATTTCTGTGAAATCTTTGTCAGTGTAAAAGTATCATGGTTGCAGCCCTTTGTCGCAGAGAGAATGAAGGAAACTAGCAAGCATCTTCATCTGTAATCCTGTTTGTTCTTCAATATCTTGCGCTTTTGTAGTATTCAAAGTGAGGTATGTTATTGGAAATTCTGTACCCTCAACATTACTGATAATTTCATAGAGTTCGAAGTGTCTTCTGGTTGTCTTATAAGTCGCATCACAATGCATGCTCGACAATAATAATAGTTTGACTAATAGAGAGGTTGTGAATCCGATTGCTGTAACCAAGTCAATATTCCAATCAAAGCAAAGCTCACTGGTTTCAGTATAAGACCCATCAAAAAAGTGACATGCAGAAATTATATGGCCTTCATTTAATTTATAAAAGCGCTGGCAATATATTGATCACTAATAATAAATTTATATCTTGGTGATAAGTAAAATATCAAATATTTGACATAAATGTGCTCATAATTGTATAGAATTCATGTGAAAATTTCATATAATTTTGTGCTTTATTTCTGGTGATGTTGCAATATCAACAGGTTCTCATGTTGAATATTATAACAAAATCTCACTATCACTTCTCCTGCTAACATATTAGCATGAATTGTTAGTTTATCATGACAGTCAAAATGATTCATCCTCTTTCAGTTTGACTTCTTATATTTGCACTCAAGTTTACAGCACTGTGAACATGCCAGGTAAAACAAACTGACATCATGATGACATAATAATATTTCAGGACCAGTTGTAAATATCCAATCATATCTGTCAAATCTCTTGATCTCATTCACTATTAGCTTTATCATATTCTTCACGTCATGTTATACAGTATCAAGTCTGACACAAAGATTAAAAAATAACACATTATTCTTGTTAAGATTAGTAATTTTACTAGTAATATAATTAATAATTTTAGCAAAAATAACTTTCTTATAGATTACTTCCTCCTCTTTTTCAGGTTGATTGTTATTAGTTGTCGATTGTTTTTTCATAGTTCTTTTTCTAAATCTTGCATCCAAGCAATTTGCACAAGTCTTATAAGTTTTGTTTTTGTAAATAAAAATTTCTGCAGGTAAATAATTATTGCGAGTGGTGCAAAAATTCATATTGGAAAATATAGAAAGAAATTTTGTTAGTGAACTGTAAAAATCTGCTATAATTCAAATGAAAAAAATAAAATAAAAAAATACTTAAATTAATTAAGATTTATATATATTACGTAAAAGAGTAAAATGAGAACATAAAATAAATTGCGTTTATTTTATTATATAAAAAAATAAAAAGACAAAATGAAATTAATAAAAAAAATAATATATTTCACGATTTGATAAAAAATGATATATTTTTAATTTGATAAAAAATGATATATTTTTAATTTAATAAAAAATAATGTATTTTACAATACGCATTAAAGTTTATGTATTGATTGATTGTTGACAGTGCATGAAAAAAATACATCAGGTTGTTAAACAAGAAATAAAGATCAGGTAGAGATCAAACATATGATTGAATAATTATGTGTACAGACAATTCTCTTTGAATGTTATAAATTTGAATAATCATTGCATGATCTATTTTGAATGTTAAATCTATTTTGGGATATACTACAAGTATATAATTTAATTTTTTCAGTATATGACTATATAAGAATGACACTCCTATTTCGGATGTACTACAAATATCATACAAGTATATGATTTAATTTTTCAGCATATGTTTATACTTGATCATATAGTCAAACCTCTCTATAGTCACACCTATTTATAGCCACACCCCTCTATAGTCACCTTATTTTGTTTTTCCATTTATATATAAATATAGTAAAAAAAATCCCTTTATAATCACATCCTTTCTATAGTCACCAAATTTTGCTTTTCTGAGAGTGATAACTATAGAGAGATTTGACTGTATATTTGATAAATAACACATAACATTTATCCAAAAAATTTATTTACATATATCACACAAAATTATATAATAATTCAACTATCAGGATCATCTTTATTGATATGAAATAAATCATACAATAAAATACAAGATAGAAATATGACACTCTAGTAAATTTAACTGAATAATTTTATTACATGTGTAATATTGATATCAATTCTAAAAAAATTGAAGTTATTTATATTAATTCTAACAAAACTCACAATTAATACAATTCTATTTGAAAAGCTTCAATAGTTCTTTAACAGTATTCTTTTCTCATATTTGCACCAAATATCTCAATTTATATATTAGTACTAATAGCACATTTATAATACAAAAACAAAAAATTAATACAGATATTACTTTTACCATATTTCTATTTAAACAGAAACAAATTATTAATAAACAGGCTATATATATCATAAATTGAGTCTTAATTTTCACATTTGAATACAAATTATAATTTTTTATTTTGTTCAAAACTGAATGTAATAAATTAATGAGACAAATAAAAAAGTAATCAAGATCAAATCTAAATTATCCTCCAATTTTAGTGATCTTATATTATTTTATTCAAAAATTTTTGTATTGGATTATTTTTGAAATATTTAATCTTGTCATAAAATTTTAGAATTATTTTATAGATTCAATGACTACTTTATTCTTGATTTTATTATATATATTTATCTATAATATTTATAAAAATAATATTAATTTTATTATTTCATTCTTTTCACTTTTACTCAAGAATACTTATTTTTAGGAAAGAATCTTATAACAAGTATATTCCTTCTATTAGAAGAATACAATATTATATTTTTTGATAATAATCTATAATCTCATTTAATTTCAAATAAAAATATTAAATAGTCTATAGAAAATAATCTAGAATTCTAATCAATATACAAAAAATACAAAGAAACACTAAAAAATAATAAAATCATTTTCTTATAATAAATAAGTAAATATATAAATAAAGAATTACTCATATAAAGACAATACAAAAATAAATTCTGGCTTATTAAACATGAAAATAAATTTAGTTAATATAAAATCTTAAAAAAAAGAACTCTTAATCATACAAATAATTAACATTATATTATACAAAACAAATACTAGTTTTTTTTAATCAATGAAAGAATATTTTGATATTATTTCAGAATGATATTCTATATATTTCATTTTAAGTATTATACATACTTTAAACATATTTACAGATAATTTAATTCAATATATACACACATAGAGATGGTGCAGTAAGTACGTGACACTTATTTGTCACCTGTTGCAACACGTTGTAACTCCAAAATTTTATAAGCTGCAACTAGTTGCAACTAGGTGATGCTTTATTTGTTACCACGTTGTAACAGTTACTGCGCCATTTTTATACACACATCAAAAATTAAATCTGAATATATCTGAACTACATAATCTGACAATATTAATTTTTCTCATTCTTTAACAAACTGTATCTTTACTATGAAATTCATGCTATTTGTACTCTTATTGAACTTATATCTAATAATTCCAATATTAATTTGTTTACTAATAGCCAAATCATTATTGATAACTTTTATAACAATATTATTTTCAGAAATAATTTCAGTTCTTATCATATTCTTTAATAATTTAATTAATTAAAAAATTATTTACAATAATATTTCTAAAAAAATTATTATTAATATATACAGTCAAATTTCTTTATAGTCATATCATTTATAGTCACACTCCTTTATAGTTATTCTAGTTTTGCTTTTTCATTTACATATAAATATAGTAAAAAAATCTTTCTATAATTATATTCCCTCTATAATCACCAAATTTTGCTTTCTCAAGAGTGGTAATTATAGAAAAGTTTGATTATATAAAGTAAAAAGATACTCTAATATTTCTAAAAATGAATTTGCAAACTTACTTGTTAAAAAGTTTACAGAAAGTCATTTATTCAAGTTAATATAACTAGATTTCTCACAACAAAATTTATTATCATATTCAGATGCAGTACACCTATTACTTTTAATATTCAACACTTCCTTAAAATATAAGATAAAAAAAAACAAATTATCCTATAGCAATCAGATAATAATTTCTTATCTTTCCTCAAACACAATTTCTTTTTTATAGTTAATTAAAAAATCATTTAATCAGTATAAAATCAAGATGGTAATACTTATACTACTAAATTAATTGCCTTAACTTTCAAATTCAATTTGCTATCAATATTGAACAATTTATACAAATATTAAAGCAATATTTACTTTTACAATATATATAATAAATGTCATTTAGAAAAAGAAATCAACAATTATATATAAATTTGCACTCATAACTTTGATGCACAAAAAAATATTTTTCAAATCATTACACTATTTAATCAAACTTATTATAAAATATCTTAGTACTAATAATAATCCTCAAATATTAAACATTCACTTAATCTCATACAACTTCTTCAAATCTATTTTCTTTATTAATTTATTTACTCATAATTTTAATATTATATACATTCGTTTTGGTTATATTGAAACATTTAAAGATTTCATTTCACAAGAACTTACTTTGTCAAAAATCTTAATATATTATACAAATCAACTTCAAATCCAATTTGTTATTTGGTTCTTAAAAAAAAGACAAAAACACATATAAAACACTTGTTATCAAAATCAAATAATAATAGAAAAACAAAACTCTATATTTGCTTGTACAAAACACTTTACACAAACCAAAAACTGGTAGATTAACTGATATCTTATCTTTAATATCTTACAATACTATCATTCATACCTTCTCAAATCCAACACTTTGTGAATGCAGAGTTGCATTATCCCTTCATCTTAACGAAACATGACCTAAAGAAGGTTGTTGCAAAATCATTAGTAACCAAATCACCGAACAAATAATTCATCTCCACTCAAAAGACAACACTCATAAATTTACACGTAATTTTAGATAAGTCCTGGTGGCTAGTCTCTATATATTAGAAGTTCTGATGATACATTTTGCACTTTAACTAGTTATAATACTTTGTATTCATAGTTTCTCAAATTAGGATAAGACTACACTATAGCATGTATAAATAATAATAATAATAATAATAATAATAATAATAATAAATAATTAAGCTATTCTTCCATTTGACTATAACTAGTTTCATGTGGAGAAATTGTATTATTATTGGGAATGAATTCAAGGTTATCAATAAAAGGTAATTCTTCCCATTCACGATAAATTGTTTTTAGATAACATGATGATGTTTTCAAGCGGAATGGATCAAAAGGAAAAAATGTAAACTGATCTAGTCGAGTAGGTAATTTATCATTATCATCGTCATCATCTCCTTTGCCGCCGCCGATATCATTGCCTTCGTATTTTCCGTTTCCATTATCGTCTTCGTGGTAGTTGTTGTAGTCCTGGTCGTGGATCATCCGAGATGGGATTATAAGTTGTTGCCCATTCGTCATAAGAGCATAGCAATACATGAAATTCAGGCTGTTTGAAATTCTCGCAAACTGTCGGACAATTCCTTGTGAGCAAATCTAAAGTAATAATATTAAATAAAGGTTGTATAATAAAAACTGCAAGAATGCATAATTATTAGTATACCTTTAAAGGTTCGAATTTGGATGCGATTAATCTTTCAAGCCCTCGAATTTCCTCGCACCAATTTTTTTCTGAATTTTTTGTTTTTGAAGATCTTTTAAGCCGATAAATCATCTGTTCCAGTGTTTCTCCTTCTTTTCTAATAATTAAATCCTTCCAGCGAAAACAGAATATATACATTAATGCCTGTATGATAGAATACATAACTCCGTATTTTTCTGGGTCTGGGTAATTTACGTTATTTTCAAAACGGAAAATCTGTTGCCAACCACAATTCATTAATATTTTTACTGAAGAGAGAACTGCAGCTTCATCCATGAAATTTGCTCGAGCCACTAGAGAGCCCAAATAAAGTGCTGATGAGATTTTTTCGCCTTGAGGATGACTTTCACTCCATAAATTTGAGTATAAAGCTGTCAGAAATTGTTCGAGAAATTGTCGATCTAATGACACGTGCCAAAATATTAAAAATTGTGTATATCGAGATTTGAATGTTGACAAAATCGTGTTAGAAAATATTTTCATTAGATCTTGAAAAGTGCCTTCCAGATACTCTCTTTTTGATAAAGAAATTTTAAAGTTCCAATTAAAAAAGTCAAGTAGTAACTTTATCATGCAATCAAGTTTTTCCATTAAATCTTGTACATCATAACGAGCTTCTTCCGATTCTTCCAGATCAAGATCCAAATCATTTTCACTTTCATTATCATCAGATTCTTCGTCCAATTCCATATCAAATAAATTTTCGGAATCCGGAAAAGTGTTTTTCTCATCCACATTATCATCTTGATTATTTTCCTTTTTCGGTATTTCATCTTTATTATTTTTTGATTTTTTTGTGATATCTCCCGGATTATAATTTAAATTAAAAAATTCCATTTCATCCTCCATATCTTCAACTTCGTGTAAACTTCCTTGAATTTCAGCCTGCATGATATCAAATTAAAAGGTGAAAAGCATTTTTATTACGAGTTCTTGTTTTATGCAGAAACGAATTTTAGACGATAATACTTGCATCAATGTTGATTATTCGTTCTATAATCAATTGCAATATTTGATGACGCAAGTCCTTGGCATAATCAAGGAAAATCAATAAATTCTTGACATATGTTACATGCGTTTGTAGAGATTCGTGCTTATGTGGAAATTCTCGCTCCACCATAGGAAATATCAAAGTTTTCCAGGATGGGATCATTTTAATTAAAGTTTTAAGCACACAATGAATGTTTAAATAAATTTGTTCATCATGGTTACTAGGTATTAAATCCAAATCTATATGTTATATTAGTAAAAAAACAACATCAATGAGTAATTTAGAAATTCATTATTTAATATACAAAACTTAAAAGTTGTTACCAAATTTAAAATTCTTTACTGCCATGTTCAAAGCTTCCACAGAATAACATGAATGAGTTGAAATTAGAGTTCGGATAAAAATGATAAAAGTGTGAAGAGTATTCTCATCAAAAATAATCCAAACTATTCCAAGAACCGTTTTAACAAGTGGACGAAATGATGTATCCAAATGTGAAATATTATGAGTTAAGCTTACAATCCATTGTCTCTTTTTTTCAAGAGATAATGAATCATTGCTGGTGCCAAATTTTTTAAATGTCTCAATTATAAATTCATAATCATTCGAATCACCCTTTAATAAAATATATAATCAGGTTATCTTTATTGTTGAATAGAATTTGCATGTTTTAAACCAAAAAATTTACTTATTCTTGGATTTATTATTAAATTTGATGCAACAAGATAAGCTAGAATTAATTAATTTCAGAATTTACGGACCGTAATTCTAACAAAGAGGGAATAATTTCATATTTTGGAAATTACAGCTTCTAAGAATCTATTGAGGAAATCTTAATAATAACTTACCAATTTCTTTTGATTAAAAGCTTTAGCAAAATATTTTATCTCAATTTCAACTTTTTGGTTGAATGAATCAGACTCTCCAGAAAACTCATATTTCTCATCAAAGTTTTTCAGAGAAAGGTTATTCCAAAGGGTTTTTCCTGAATCGGGATAAAGAGAAATTGCTGAGAGAGGAACAGACGCAGATGGCATGAGTTAATTTTTTTGAACAAGAGGACACGAAAAAATTTTGCGTAAAGTTTTGATTTGATCGACATTATGTCCTATAGTAGGACCAAGAAAACTATATATGTCTTTTTCGGGTTGATCAAAAATTTATGCATCTTTATTGGTTGATTTAGAAGACCCGATGTGTAAAATTGTCTTCCCAACTCTTTTTTTTAGTGTGGATTTAGGCGTCGAATTTGTTTTGCCGGATGATAAAAAATTTACTGGTTTGTGCCACAATTAGCACGTGATCAGACCCTTTTATTTGCCATAGCTAGGGTACTTTTATTCAAGCGAGCATAATGATAATCATAAATTATCGTTATCATGCATAACTTACAAAGCACATCAGAAATCTGTGCCAGGTTTTGTCGATCATAGACCAGTAGCCAATAAGAATGCGTAATTTTTTTATTAGCATCCAATAAGAATGCAGAAATTTTTGATCAGACCGGCAAAACAATCCGACACAAGAAAAGAAACAATACAAGAAAAGCGAAAAATACGAGAAACAAGTGCATAAATATAGCTTGGAGTACTAATTAAAAACGTCGGGGAGACAATTTTATATACAATCTGTATATCAGCTCTAACCCTAATCCTAAAACCAACCTTTTAATGTTAATTAATATTACTGTAGAATTTTCCGAGATCAACAAATCTGGCACAGATTTCTGATGTGCACTTACAAATAATACATTTGCTCATTTATATAGTAGTGATATACAAATGACAGAAATCTTAGCGTTATTTTGATTTAAATGGACACCTTACTTAAAGGTGTTTATACAAAATTTGTTATGGAGAATACTTACATATTGAAATACACACAGTACATGAAAACTAACCAAGACAATAAAATACTTTAATAATATTATATTTATTGCAATTAACCAATAAGTTGTGTATTATTATTGAGCAATGCATACAAATACACAATGAAATAATTATTCTACTAATCAGTCATCCGTCATTAAAGAATTCTCTATAAAACATAAAAAGAAAATTCATCTTGTTCAATGTAATTTAGTAGATAGCACCAATTATTAACGAATTCCAAATTTAGTAACGATAAAATCGATGATGACGACGATAACGATAATTTAGGAGAGAACTTAATTAAAAAGATGAATCACCTTTAGAATATGCTTACCTTTTCATACAGAAATAATCAAGAACACATCTTCATCGATGGTAATATTTTTGATAGATTCTTTGATGTGCTCAACAAATCTTTCTTTAATGTATTAAAATACAAGATTAATAAATAATATATATTTGAAATCAGACCTATTCACATAGGATCTTTAGTTAAGTGTCCGGATTCGCTGCTCGGTATTCTTCTCTCTGGCGAAGCAAACCGCCAAACTCTTCTTCTGGCAACTCGAAATTATGTTTTTTGCTTAAAGCGACCGGCAATTTTGTTCCAAAAGCTAATGCTGACCGCGTGCTTTTCCGATATCCTGTTGGCATGGGTGTATTTGGTTTGATGAAGGTAGTTATTCCTGTAGATTCACCGATATCAATTATATCTATTTCATATTCTGGAATATTACTTAAAGCCGATGTACTAATACTGTTTCTTGATTGTTTAGATGAATCATCATCAATGTTTTTATATTTATTTGATGGGATTTTGAGCTTCAGCTTTTTTGATGATGTTTCTGAATTAGCCCTTGTCTCTTCACGTATACGTTTTCTTGATTTATTATTATTATAGTTGCTGTTATTATTATTGTCATTATTATTATAGTTGCTGTTATTATTATTGTCATTATTATTATTATAGTTGCTGTTATTATTATTGTCATTATTATTATTATTATTGTTGTTGTTGTTGCTGCTGCTGTTGCTGCTGTTGTTGTTGTTGCTGTTGCTGTTGTTGTTGTTGTTGTTGTTGGTATTATTATTGTTATTATTAGAATGAGAATGTATGATATTATTATTGTTGTTATTATTGTTATTATTTGATGTGGTATCTTCCGAGCTGGCTATACTATCTTTTCGTCTTTGCTTTTGTTTCTTTGTATTTACTACACCTTCTGGACTTTTTGTAGCCTCGCTTTCTGTTGTTTCTCCACTGCTAGTAGGAAAGTCTGGTTTTCGCTTTTTCCCACCTAACCCTAATTCATCGTATCTTTTTAATGTATCTTCCGCTTCTCGAAGCAATTTTTTATGCATAATCTCTATATCATTAGCATCAATCGTAGTCGATGATTCTGTTCGTAATGCTGCAATTGGAATTAATCGATTCATCTCCATATTTCGTAATTTCTCTACTGCTAGTTGCTGTTGATATCTTTCATATGTTAGTCTTTCACGCTCTCGGTTCTTTAGTTTTTTTTCTGATAATTCAAATTTTCGATGTCTCTTTTCGTATTTTTCAGGTAAGATCTCCTCCTATGTGTAATGAAAATTCAAGTATGTAAGGCAATGGTTATTTTAAATGTTAAAAAAGCTCTAATATATTTCTTTTAAGCCAGAACCTTCCTTTTACTTACTTCTTGGGTTTTACTACGTAGTCCACTTTCTAAATCTTCAGCGAATGTTTTGAAAAGAGGTTCTGAAACTTCATTTGTTGATTGCTCGATTTCCATCATACTATTCGCTTCGTCGATTGATTCACAGCCTTGTAAGTCACTTTCTTTATTTGTTATTAATATAAAGTCCTCAGAAGATAAATAGAAGGTGTTGCTGTCGTCTTCTAGCAAATAAAATGTATCATATGAAGAAGTAATTGGAATTTAATATATACCAATAAATCTATGTTAGTGTAAAGCATACCATAACCCACCTAACAACGAATCAGAGCTCACAACACCTGCTAGCGGCCCGAATTTCCTGGGTGGCAAGAAGCGCTTTCTGCCTGTAGCTGCTGAAGTGTGTCGCGTCTCACTTGTAGAACTTGTGCTAACTTCATTTGACGAAATCTCTTTTTCCTTTGAAAAAAGCTTCTTACTAGATGATTTGGAATGTTTAGAGGTATCTTCAATCATTTAATATAGATTGTATTCTCTCAAAGTGGAGTTTTGTTTAGTTTCTTTATCTGTATCACACACATCGTAAACACTTCTGAAATTTGTGCCAGGTTTATGGCGATCTCGGAAAATTCTACGGTAATATTAAAGGAGATCAAGATTATATGTAAAATTGCCTCACCATCCTTATTGGTCTGTGCCACCAGTAAATCGCATTCTTATTAGTTTGCGCCACCAACCTTGCACACATTTTCAAATCATGAGAATTGTTTGGTGTAACTAATTAATCTTTTAAGCTATTATTATATATTTTTTAAAGATAAGAGTAATAAGAGAAATATATCTAAGTTTTACTAAAATTGTATAGTTTGAAAAAAGAATAAAAATATGAGAAAATAATATTTTAATAAGAGAATTATTAAATACAATCAAATCCCTTTATAGTTACTATCCTCGAAAAAGCAAAATTTGGTAATTATAGTGAGGATATGACTATAAAAAAAGTTTTTTTACTATATTTATATATAAATGGAAAAGCAAAATAGGATGACTATAGAAAAGTATGACTATAAACAGATATGATTATAGAAGGATTTGATTATATCAAATAATTCTTAAAGAATGTAAAAAATTATTATTAATCATCAGATTCTAAAAATTATAATACTGTTATGATTTAGATTTTCACTAAATCATAAAGTCATGTGCTGTTAAAATCTTATATTCTTATTGGTTATATTTTAT